CCCTGAACACACTGTTGTTATGATTCATCCATGATGTAGCGAGTGTCAGAATTTCCTTCCCTCTCGAGGCTAATGTTCCACTGTACGGGTGGGCTATATCTGGTTCAATCACTCATTCGCTGATGGACATATGGTCTGCTTCTACCTCTTACTCTTATGAAGAGTGAGCCCCTTCGAATGTGGAACACAAACATCCCCCTTTTTAATGGCTGAAGAACATTCTGCCTGTGTAATAATTTGGTTCTGGAGTTTCCAGATAAAAACCCACAAACCATGAGTGCATGGCCATGTGGTGGGCAGGTCAGTAATGGACTGACAGTGTCCCTGGGTGCTTGCTACCTGGTAGCATCACCCTCTGGCCATACCCTGGGGCCAGGTTTCTGGAGGTTGGGCAAATGCAGGGGATCCTGTTAGTGGGGGGTAGGGGTGGGGTGCCTGGCCAGGTCAGAGACACTGAAGTCTATCCAATGGCTGGAGAAACGGCTCAATAGTTAATAATGCTTACTGCTCTTCCAGAGGACCAAGGTTCAGTTCCTAGCACTTACACCAGGTGGCTCACATCTGCCTGTAACTGTAGTTCCAAGGGACCAAATGTATGTATTTACATACAAATGATGCCCATGAACCATGAACACAAACACACACACACACACACACACACACACACACACACACACACACACACAGCTTTTCACAAAATACTAAAGGATAGGTGTGGTGTACATCTTTAATACCAGCACTGTAGACTCTAGAAGCAGAGACAGCCAGATCTCTGAGTTCCAGGCACTCTGTCTCAAACAAACACTATAAAGATATCCAAGAAAGGAAGACAGGGTACCCTGAGTGGCCACAGTGATTGGGTCTGATGTCTGGTTGTTGCAGAGTTTTGATGGCTTGGTTGCCTCCTGGAGAAATTCCACATTCTGAACCCTATTGCAAAAGGGCCCCTCCCCTACTGGTCCACCCACCTTGTATGGCTGAGACCACCAGGGCTCAACCAATAGTCCACAGGGATCTAGGCGCCTGTCCTGCCTTCCATAGCAAGGCAAGGGGCGGGGCTTCTGGCAAATTCCTGCTGCTTCTCCTGTCTCCTCCATCTAACAGCGCCAGACCCTGGCTGTCTGAATCAGGGGCCTTTGTCCACCTCTGCAGACCAGTTAGGGAGGGCATCGGTACCTGAGAGGTGGGAGCGGGGGAGAGAAAAGAGGAGAAACCCTTTGGGTGGGGCTCAGCGTGGGAAGGTAGCTTGGACACCTGGGTCCTGCTCCCCTGGGGTCAGCTCTGATTTGTGGTGGAGGAACCACATCAAGAGCCGGCTTGAGGCTGCAGCCTCGCCAGAGATTAGGGCCACCGCAGTGGGTGGGAGGGGGGAGGCGCAGGGTCTCAGCCAGGCGGTGACACATGTGCCTGGGGCAGGGCGAGGGGACGGAAAAAATGAGTGCTGGGAGGCGCGGCGGCTTCGGCTTCTTTTACGGGAAAGCGGATGTGAGGTGCTGACAGGTCCCTGCCGTTCTCAGTTCTTATCTGAACTGGGGCTGCCACCACCGGATGGCCTGGCCCAGAAGCGCCTTGCAGCCCAGAGCCAGGCGGGAGGTTCAGAGAACCGTTGAGAGAACGACCACTTCCTCCCGCCTGCTGCCGCGTCTCCTCCTCCTCTCCCTCTTTTTTTTTTTTTTTTTATTTTTTGTACTCGCCATCCCTTTTATATTCATAACGATGTTCTTGTAACCACACATTCAAAGTGTATTAATCAGATTTTAGCTCTGGTATTTTTTGATGGCCACCTGGCTCCCTTGTCATTTCCGCACAACTCTAACTTGGTTCTTTGTCTTCAGACACCGAGTTGCCGGTGTTGTGCTGAGTCTGCTCAAACTGTTGAGACTGCCGATGGGGACAGGAGGACACCGGCCAGTTCAGAGCCCTGTGGCTGGGTTTGCATGGCCCTGACTCAGCGCTGGCAGTCCCTCCCTCACAGGGTTCCACAGGGAACAGATGGGCAAAGGTGGATGCTGTAAGCTTGGTGTTTTCTGTCATGGAGGGGGATGACAAGTGAAATTGAACGCTCTTTCACTGTTTCAGGTGTGTGTGTGTGTGTGTGTGTGTGTGTGTGTGTGTACATGCATGTATGTAACACTCACACGAGCATGTGGCCTGCATGCGGCACACACATTCGTGCACACACTATATACATACGTGCACAAACATATATGCATGGATATACACACAACACATACACGAACTGTATATGCACACTTGTATAAGCGGGCATCGACGGCTGTGCACCTAACACTGTGGTGGAATGACGAACACGTCTCTGCCAGCTTTTATGACATTATAGTTTGCACTTTTTCCTTTCCAGACTTTTAGATCGCCAGTTAGCTTGCATTTGGATCCCCGTGTGCTAGCACAGACGTTTTATTTCAGTTTGCATATGACAATTCTCGCCACCTTGGGACTCTTCCACTCTGTGAGCTGAATGTGTCCATCTTAGTTTGAACTGTCCGAAGTTCTTTACTAGCTAAGGTTTGCCCCACACCCATGCTGTTAGGGAACATGCCCTCACCTACTGGAGCTTCTTGCGAGTACTGTCCATATGGTCTGCGGTGTGTTGGGAGTGTGCAGGTGTGTTGCATGTGGTGGGAATCTGAATACCACGCATGCCAGGGGGAATGCCAGAACCTGATAGGAAGTCCCCACTCGCAGGGACTTGAGGCCGCACCTTGCTGGTCCCAGCACAGGCAGTGGGTACCCTGTCACCCTTCCTGCGTGGCTATCTTGGCTGTTTCCTGTCCACTTTCCCTCAAACATCATAGGTGAGACCCCCCCCCCCACATCACTGTTGAATTTATAGATCAAGTAGGAAGAGCTACCATGTCTGTTATATGGAGTCATTGTGAGCAGAACTCCGTGTCCTGTGGGGAGCCATGTCTGCACCTCTGTTTTTCCTGCAGCCCTCCTGCACACTGCCAAGTCACCGTTCCCAACCAACTCCCACAGGGGTCACATATCAGGGATTTACACTATGATTCATGACAGTAGCACAGTCACAGTTACGGAATAGCAACAAGATGATTTTATGGCTGGGGGTCACAACAGGAGGAATTAAGGGTGGCAGTGTTAGGGAGGTGGAGAACTGCTTCTTTAAGTTAATGCCCCATCTGTAGCTGTGATTGAGGGAGCAGGCTGGCACTCAATTGTTGGTTACCCAAGAGGGCTTCCTGAACCGTGGAGAGCTGCCCATCTCTTGATCACCTTTTCCCTATCAGCTGGATGACCAGGTTTCTTTTTCTAGCTCCGGTGAGTTTTTCTAGAACTCTGGCTTATTCTTGGCATCTCTCCTTTGGCACTGTCTATTCAGGACATAGTGTCTCCTCCCTTGCTCAATATGGAGTGACGGTAGTGAGCTCAGGAGGGGCTCAGGGCTAGGGAGCGTGTGGGGAGCTGTAGCCGCCCCCAAAGGTGGCTCTCTGGTCTCCAGATAGAGGCTGGGGAGGGCTGCCTGCCTTCCTCTGTGGCCAAAAGTCAAGATCCCAGGCTAGTGATGGGCTGGGAACAAGTCTATCCTTTCTGAAATGTCCTGTCCTGTGCCCTGGGGAGGGACTCACAGGCACCTCTCTCATGCCCAGATATACTTCACCCACCCTGCTGAGATGGCTCCCGGCACAAGGCACCAACCCTGCCTGGAAGGACTCACAGAGGAGGACATGGTGGACATGGGTAAAGCAGTGCAGGGCACCTTCCTGCTGGGGTCTGTAGCCGTGGGCCCCTCAGAATGCCTGGTGTGGGGAGTGTGCCTTTTCCTCATCCTCTGTGTTTGAGATCCTTCATACCTGGGCGGTGACATGAATGTGAGACTGGTGAACGGAGATGAGGCTAGGGAGTGGCTGTGTATCTCAGTAATGCCTCAGGCTGGGCCTGAAGAGGGCGGTGACCTTCCCTACTTCACCTGGAGCTTCGGCGTGGCCCTGCAGCTCTTCCTTTACCATACCAGCCCCAACACCACAGAAGCAGAACAGAACGTCTTAAAGCTTTTGTTACCATTTAATTATAATAGAACCAAAGGCAAGGGACTCCTGAGCCCTGGCCATCTGGGTGACCACCAGACAGCTAGGCTCTTGCTACCTTGACTGTCTTAAGTGCCAAGGGGACCCTTAAAATCCTTTGCTCACCTCATGGCCACAGTGTGAATGGGAGTCAGAACTGGACTCCAGGAGAGGACCAATGGATAGACCCCCCCAACACCCGAATCACTGCCCAAGATGGCCACAGTTGGTACAAGTCAAAATTGTGTCTTCCCTTTCCCTTCGCTGCTGCTGACCTGGGACATGTCTTTTTGTCCCTAGGGGGAAAGTAGCGAGAGTTAAGTGCCTCACTGGAGGTGTGGGTGGGACGCTTCCCTTCATTGCCTCAGTTTCTCTGCTGTAGAAAGAGCTGGACAGGCAGGACAGCAGGGACTCTCCCAGAACCTTTGCCTGGTGAGCACTCATGCTTCCCCAGCCCCCTAAAGCTAGGAACTCTCCAGGTCTTGGGATTCGTTCAGGGTCTCTGGGTCCCCCAATCTATGAATGTTCCATCCGAATACCTCTCAACGGCAGCTTTAGGTGCTGTGTCTACTGTGTACCTGGAGCTCCTTGTCATGGGGATGCCAGTCAGTCTCTAATCTTTCTAGGCACAGGGTCCCCAGAGGCCATAGGCTAAAGTGACTCAAGCCTCTAGCGGTACCCAGCAGCAGGATTCAGGAGACCTGGGCTCAGGCCAGCTCAGCACTCTGAATTGAGGGAACAGGAATGCCTGCTGCTCCCAGCTGGTGGTACACATTAAGAAAACTGTCACTCAACAACACATGTGTTGGAATTGGTCACTCCAGACAGCTGTCACTCCAGATAGCTCAGACCCTGGGAGCCTTTGCAGCACTGTAGCCTGCACGCTCCTCTTGATGGAGGAATGGACCGGTGCTCTCTGCAGAGGGTCTGTAGGAAGCTAATGGCTGAGCCATCTGGTCAAAGGGGCCAAGAGCAGTGTCCATCCTCATGCCTTGGAGGCCTGGGACCCTGAGGACCATCTGCTGAGCCCCTACGTCCCAAGGATGAGGCACCCAGCCCTTCAGAGAAGACGATGGTGGCATACTCTGTGTGTATACAGGGGGTGGGGGGCTCTGGAGTCTTCTCTCGCCCCTGGAAGTCCAGCTCCTCGTAGGCCACACTGAAGATAGGTGCTGCTGAAGGGCCCCCCTTCTTCAAGGGAGCAGGAGGAAGAAGAAAGAATTGTATGTATAGTCAGTTGGGGTGGTGTGTGCATCCCATAATCTCAACCCCCCCCATGCTGAGTTTCCAACCTGTGGATGGATTTGGGGTTCTTCTTAGAGACCTCAGCCATTGAAGCTGGGACCTAACAGCTGTCCCTTCTCGCTCTGCACTGCCCTCTCTGAGATTCAGGGTGCAGCCCCTTGGCTCTGGTGCAGTTTCTACCTCTAAATGGTCCCTGGTCTTCTTGCAGGTTTAGGATTCCAGAGTGTGATGTTTACATTGGTCTCTGCCCAGAATAGAATAAGCAGTGACCGTGCTGGACATTACAGGGCTATGCACTCTGGGTCAGTTGGTGTACAGAGCATCAGGATATGGCTCTAGGGTCGTGGAGGGAAGTATGAGCTTCGTTCTCCAGGCTGCAGCCCCTAAGCTTCACAGTCTCTCTGTCTGCACCAAGCCCTGGGGGCAGACTGCGGTGGATCATTCAAGAAAGGGGACCCAGACTCACCAGAGGCTGTTCCTTTCTTCTAGCTCGTCTGGCCTCTGTTGAGAAACACACTCTGAATTAGAGGGCAGCTGCTGAGCCATCTTCCCTGGCGGAGGGGATGTCTTGGCAGTGTGTGTGTGTGTGTGTGTATGTGTGTGTGTGTGTGTGTGTGTGTGTGTGCAAGCATGAATACACACAGGTGTCTGTGTTTGGAGTAGAGGTTTCAGGCCCTGAAGCGATCTAGACTATGGGCTGGCATCAGGCTTTCCCCCCCCTCATGCCCTTCCCATTTAGTAACTGGGAGTTCCCACTTGGGTCATGACGAATTGTGGACTACCAGCCTGCCATAGGGGCGGCTGCCTTGTTCCCTGGAGCACAGCAGCATATAGCAGGCAGGCAGCAGATACTATGTGTGGCCTCTTTGCCGGCTGATGACCAGACTTAGCTAGGCGGTTCCTAGAGATGGCAGAGTAGGAATGGTCCCTTTGTGACAGGAGCCTGAAGGCAGACTTAGATCTTCCTTTCATCCATAGAAAATGGCAACTTTCACCAGTTGTTTAGTAAAAAAAAAAAACCAGCAGCCTGGGGCTGGTTGGGGTGGCCACTGGCTCTTGTAGTGGTCAGGGTGTGTGGGAAGTATGATGATATAGGCCCTTCTGGTGACCACAGGCCCTTCTGATGGTCAAAGTATGTGTGAAGTATGGTGACCACAAGGTTTCACGACAGTCAGGAGCCCTGAGGAAAGTAGGAGGTAGAGTGCTGGGAGGAAGCATATTGGGTGGAGAATGGCCAGCGGGGCTGTTTGCACGGTCTGAGGCTTTGACTTTGGTGGGACAGGGGCAGAGTTATCACGAGCCTTACCTGACACACCTGTTGAGCAGAAGGCAGCTAGGACCCAGGCCAGCAGCAGCAACACAGGGACACCCACTAGGACACTCATGATACCAATGACCAAGCCTTGAAACTGGCTTGCTGGCCTGGGTGAGGGGCTGGGGTATCTTGTGGAGGTCTCCAGGATTCTCTCTACAGGACCACAAAGGATAGAGTTCTAGGACACCGTAGAGTATTCTCTTTGGGGGCACCCATCCTGCCTGCTCCAAACCCACTTAGGATGGGCAGTGACTGGCCACCCACCCTACTTCCATAGGCCCCACCATCCCTTGATGATAAAGGGGCACCTGAGGATTTCCAGAGAGAGAAAGAGAGGGCGGGGGATGGGGGGGGGACACGGTCCTCAAGGTGCTGGGCAGACCCACGGATGGGAACCTAGCAGGTCCCTAGGGAGGAGGGGTCTTCTATTCAGTCGTTTCTAGCCGCACCTGTTACCACCAGCTCTGCTCCAGGGCTCTCCTTGATTTGTGTCTTGGGGGGCAGGGAGATGGCCCCACAGAGGTAGATGCCACTGTCATTGCGCCGCGTGGCGAGGATGTTCATGTGGAAGTCATGCCCATTGGCTAGCTGTGTGATCTGGAAGCGGCTGTCCCGGACAGGCTGGCTTAACCCTTTGCAGAAGGCAGCCTGTTTTTCAGTCTGGTTGCTGGGGCTCAGGCGGTACCAGTTTAGCATAAGGTCCTCGGACCAGTTGGAGAAACTGCAGGTGAAGGTGGCATTTGCTCCCTCTGACACGGTGAGCCAGGCTGGGGAGAAGGTGAGGGGCCTCCAGGGCCCGCTGGAGACCTCTGAGACGGAGGAAAACAAAGATCTGTTGGAACGGGGTGCGAGTACCTTTTCTGATCATTTTCTGAAATCCCTGGAGAGAGAAATGGTTCTCTCAGACCCACCCAAGGTCAGAGTGTCCTAAGCAGTTCCCCTGCCAAGGAACCTGTAGCTTCTTGCAGGCTGTGGGTATGTGATCCCCAGCCCCAAGAAACAGGGCTCGTCCTTTAGCATAATTAAACCCAGAGGCTGGAGGCTTTTATCTGGCATGCTTATTTCTATCCTTTGAGAATTTGGGATTCCCCATCCCCCCATGTCTTTACCTTCCCACTCCTGCACAATGTGTCCCAGGCCGGACCTGCATGTTACAGCCCTAGCCTTCTGGTTGGCTCGCTTAGTTCTGTTTGAAGGGTCAGTGGAATGCTGGAATGGAAGTATAAGGACTTCCATGAAAACTAATTTGGAAGTAGTGTATTCTTTAGTAAACTTGGGGTCCAGGCTGTGTCCTGGCCCAGAGAGACCACCCAGCATGACAGAGCTGCCCCGGGTAGCAGTCTAGGGCAGCCATATCTTCTAGCCATATCAGAGGTCACAGCCAGGAGCCTCCAAAGATCAGCTGTGTCATTGTCCCTCAAGACAGAAGTGGACAGAAGGAGAGGTCCCATGGTGCAGGACTCCCCAAAACAAACACGACCTGGGATGCCCCACACATCATGCAGGGCCTTGAGGCTCTTCTCAGCAAATGTCTATCTCACTGACAGGCTTCACGCCGCATGCATGCACACTTACATAAACCTCGCTCTGTACTCTGTGATGCCAGCAGCAGCACCCACAGCCGAGTACGCAGGTCCAGTCAGAAGCCCCAGGGTCAAGGGAAGACAGACTTGGTGAGCACACACTTGCTGGGAAGACTGATGTGCACACAGGAAACAGCCACAGAGACACCCTTGAAGACGCTCTGGCCTCAAGTCTGGCTGTGCTGCCAGCTCTCTTTGCCCCTGGCCTCTGCAGTCATTTGGCAACTGGAACTTATAGAGGTTATGTCCCCAGCTGCACCCTTTCTGGCTCTCTGCCCTCTCCTCTTACAGACTGAGTAGTCATATAGTGAGGTAATTCTATGCAATTACAGGGCCCAGGGGACTGTACCGCAAACACTGCAACCATCTCCAATGAGGGGCATTTGACTATCCTTACTGGGCACTGTTCCCTCCCAGGGTGACAAAGAGTGAGGCTGTGCTGCCACGGCTAAGGTTACAGCCTCAGAAGACACAGAGAGAGCAGGAGTAAGAGGCAAAGAATAGTGCCACATAGGGAGAGAGGATGAATGGAAAAACAGCCAGCAAACAAGGTTTAGGAAATCGGCCGCCTCTAGCTCAGAAGGGAGCCAGACATACTTGGCGAGTTATCTGCAGTGAGCGAGAAGACTTCAGCAGAGCGAGGCCCTGAGATAGCCCGCCCTGGGAAGAAGCAGGACTAACATTTCCCCTCCTTGATGTTCTCAGCTATGCATGGATGATGGATGGAAGAACAACGCCAGGCCCTGCTGATGATCTAGTGCCACTTGGACTTGAGGGTGGGCGTGGCCTCTAGATCCCAGGCAGTTGGTGAAGCCTAAGCCCCATGGTGCTAGGCAGGGGTCCATGTAGGTCTGTGTGGGACAGGAGGACCCGCAGTGTCACGATCCTCGGAGGGGCCAAGCCCAGGCTGGGGGTGGCCAGCGTGAGATCTCCCCATCTTAGCAAAGGTTCTGTCGCTCCTCAAAGGCAGCACAAACACCATGCAGTATACCCTTACTTTGGCTTGAGATGATCTGTCCAGACCACACACAGCCAGCGTGCCACAATACATAGTGTTAGTGGAGCTCTTGGTTAAACATTCACTCAAGAAACACACAAGTCCTTTTCAAGAGCGCCCCCAGCAATCAAAGTAAGGCTAGACTCACATTTGGCAAAGGTGACGCATCTCCCCACCTTTGCTTTTCTAGGCTCTGTCAGTGTGGTCTGGTCTATGGTCTCCCTCCTTGGAACCAGAAACCTGGGGTCTCTTTCCAAGCACTCTAGGTAACTTTCAGTCTCTACAGCATTACCCTGATCCCCCAAAACCACCACCACAACCGCACTTAATCACCCATCTCCAAACAGATTCTCAAGACTTTCCATGGTCATGAGGACCAGAAAAGTCCCCAGAGAGCCAGAAGGCATAGTGTCCCTTCTTTGTTCTGAGCAGGATTGTCACACCTGTCCAAGGGCAGTGAACACACCGGGCATCTCTGTCCAGTTATCACCTCCTGTCCTCTGATGTGATCCATCCACTAAGCTTTGGGACTATGGAATGTCCTCAGGGAACCACCTGCCACCCTCCCTCTCAAGGTTGGCCCCTAGGTTGCCCCAGATGAGTTGTTGGGTAGACATTTGACCATGGGTTCCAGAGCCCCCTTGCCTCATCAGTTGTTTGGCTCCAAGTCTTTCCTGGTCCTGTGTCTAAATGCATGGCAATTTGAGTGACTTGTCTTCTCTCTGACTCTTTGCTATTTATTCTTTTGGTGGCAGAGCCACCAGACCTCTGTCCTCTTGTGGGTCTCTGCCTACGTCCATTCCAGGGCTTTGGCCTTCTCTGTCTAGGTCCTGGTGGCTTCCATATCCCTTCCTCCCTCCTCAGAGTAGTCCCTGCCCGCTCTGGGCCCCACAGCCTCTGCTCCTCTGCTCCCCTGGGAATTCTTTTCTTGAACTGACATGTGCTTTCCTTCAATTGTGCCGGTGGTGGGCTACAGATGACAAGGATGGGCACTTGCTCACAGGGGGCACTGTTCTGCTCTAGGGATGTATGGGAGGGACTGGGTTTGGCAAGAGAATGCCTCTGGAGGTCACAAGGCGGTAGTACAATACCCACAGGCATTCAGGTCAGAGTAAAATGCCACCCAGGAGTGAATAGGCCCCTGAGAGGGTTGGGAGCACCTTGTTGCGTGTGATGGCAGTTAGGCAGGCAAGCACCGCACATCTCCTGCAGTCTTGAGAAAGTGAGATAGATCCTGAGGCCCCAGGCAGTACTTGTGAGTCTGCCTTTCATGCTGTGGGAGCACACAGGCAGATGAAAGTGAAGTGTCACTGTGGTTAAAACATAACGGCGGCTTCTCTTTTAAAGGCAGGAACTGGCGACACAGCCGAGGCTGGCCTTGAACTCACAATTCTCCGTCTTTTTCTTAGGTGCTGAGATCACAGGCAGGAACTGTCCTGCTGCAATAAAGGCAGACACTTCTGATTAACCCAGGAGTGGTGGGTGAGTCTGGAGGGGCTGTGCCAATACTGACTTCTGGCTACAGAGGATGAGGATGGCCCTGAGTCCTTGCACTGTGAGTTCCATCAAACTATTTTGATGGTGTTTGCACAATTAGAAATTTCACAGGAGGGAGGAGGGAGGGCTGGGGAGATGGTACAGCAAGTAAGAACACTTGATGCTGAGAGTTTGGGTCCTCTGAACCCATGTGAAAGACGGGTGTGGCAGTATATGTTTGCAATGTCAGCATCACAGGAGGTAGAGACAGGAGCATCTGGGAGACTGATGGCAGAAAAAACACAAGCTCCAGTTTTAGAGGAAGATACTGACTCAAGGGAATGAAGTCTGTGGCAATGCAATACTTTGAGAAAATATCTCTTTCATTATAAGAGACTGGCAATTGTGTTGGGCCTCACAGCCAGAGGTAATTCTATACCCTGGTGTCACTTAAGATTTAAGACTGCTGCCCTACTGTGTACTCGGCCTGTTTATTTAACCTGCCTTTGAAATTTTTTTCTTTTGGTTTTTAGGACAGGATTTCTCTGGGTAGCCTTAGCTATCCTGGAACTCACTCTGTCTATAGAGTGGACTGCCCTTGAACTCAAGAGATCTGCCTGCCTTTGTCTCCCGACAGGTGGGGTTAAAGCCTTGTGCCACCAAGCCCTACTTTAACCTGCCTTTAAGAGAACAACATAACAATAAACCTCACTTGCCTTGGATTTCCCGTGTAATCAACTTTTACAGTTTAAGCAATGCATAGCGCAATCTCAAGTTACATTCTCTTCCATGCCCCTGACTCAGACAATGCATGTGTACCATTTGCTGAAAGCAGCAAATACAGAAGTGGAAAGCAACGTTCTAACATCTGTCACAGAGGTCGAAAGCATCCATTTGTGGGTATTGGTTGATGATGGCGCTTATCATCTGGGTCAGTCAGTCAGCTGGAGCCAGTGACTCAATCCCTTGTAACACTGTTAAAGATTTTCCGTCAAGTGTCCCATTATCTCCCCTGTGTGATGCTTTTTATGCTGGGCAATAAAGACAGAGCAAAGTCCTTTGTTAGGGAGAGAGAGAGAGAGCAAGCTCAGACAGACAGACAGACAGACACACACACACACACACACACACACACACACACACACAGCTCATACAATAGACAAACACCACACCACTCACAAACACGGACAGCTATGACACACACACTGAACAGAAGACACAGACACGGATTCACAAGACAGCCTTCAGGCAGGCACAGGTTCGGACTCACACAACAGATGGATGGAGAAAGACATGTGGAGCCTGAAGGAGAGATTCTGATCTGGACTGTCTCTTGGCTGGATGACTCTAAGGAAAACTGAGTCAATTTCTTTCCTTAACATGACACTGATGCATTATTGGTGACTCAGATTGTTCACTACTGGGTAGAATCTGCACAAAGGTTGGAGCAATAAAGCCGGGTATCTTCCTCTGGCCATCACACATGCACACATAGGTGTGCGCACCCAGGACACCCACATCCACACCCATGTAAGTTACCCAGGGCTATGGAGTTGGCTCAAGTGTTTGCCAAGCAAATGTGAGGAGATTGATTTACAGTATCTAAGTCTGGTGTAGCCACGTATGCTTATAACCCAGGGACTGGAAAGGCAGGAACAGGAGGACCCTTGCAGCCTGTTGGTGAGTTTATTTGGCTGAGTCAGTGAGCTTCCGGTTCAGAGAGAGATCCTGCCTCAAAAATTAGGGTGGAGAACAATTGAGTAAGATATTGACCACTGACCTCCACATATATGTTCACACACATGTAATGTGCATGTACAGTGATGAGCACACACACACACACACACACACACACACACACACACACACACACACGCATGCACGCACACATGCACACACACTCCTTTTATTTGTAAAAATCAACTGAGGAGCCTGCCTTTCACTTGGCAGTGTGCATGCCAATGAGGAGGTTTGGCCCCTTTTCATGTTTAGGTCACTTTTTGTCTCACCTTGTGGGCCTCCAACCAGCATCTGGGAACCTAGAACTGTCTGGGACCCTTTTTGGGGATGCACCCAGAGCTAGCCTAGTTGAACTCACCCCTTGTCCTCCAACCTAGTGAGGTGTGAGACCAGAATATAATGTAAAGGGCTCCTTTCCCCAGCCCAACCTATCCTACTAGGACTCCTGCTCCTGGGGACGCAGTGTAGGAGTGCCAAATGTTGGAAAGTTAGCCTTCTGCTCTTCAACCCCACTCCTGTCCGACTTAGCCCACAATCATGCCATCAGTGAATGTCTGTCCCCAGAACACTAACCCCAAAGGCATAGATTAGTGACACTGGAAAGGGGGAGCTCTGGAGGGAACTGGGTGTCAAAGACCGTTGTGTGCTGTCTAGGGAGAGGCTGGGCTGTAAAACAGCATTTGCTCCATCTGTCCTTTTCTAGGGTTTCTGGAACTACTCTGGGACTCTGCAGTCTTCCCACTGGCAGGAAGGACTCACTGGAGGCCACACCTTGGCCTCAGATGCCCAGCTTAGGAGCCCTGAGATGATTAAACCTTGTTCTTCACAAATCACCCAGTCTGTGGTGTGCTGTTTGAACAACAGAAAGGGGACTAAGCTAGGCTATCTCCTCCAGGGAGCCTTCCTGGTCTCCTTAGCCTGTGCCAAGATCTGCATAGAAGGTATACATTGGAGGTGACAGGGGTCTTCGTGATTTCCCTGAGCTTGCTCTTGGATTCATGTACAGAGGTGAGTTGATGGGTGAGTAGCATGTCGTGGTTAGCACGCCTGAGCCTGAGCCTGGAGGTCACACGGCAAGCTCACTGCAGACCACCAGCTCCTGTAGGCTGAGGCCAAATCATAACCACACAGAAGCAAACCATACCTTATTTAGACAAGACTCATCTGGGATAATGAAAGCATGGTCAGGTGGGTGACAGGGGTCTCCTGATTCATTACAAATAGACTGTATCCCCAATTTCCACCTGGAGGAATGTCCCCAGTGTGAGGATCCCGGAAGGGCACCAGGCATCAGGACTGCGGTTTCCAGTAGATGTGTGATGTCTCAGATGACACTCCCCCTTTCTTGCCTAAGCTGCTAAGGGCACAGGCTAACTAAGCCAAAAGGGAGGCAGAGGACCTGCAGACACTCAGCCAAAAGCAGGTCACCCACAAGGGCCCCAGCCAGGGATTGGCAAGCCAGCCAGAAACAGAGCTCCAGCGGCATCTAGGTGGGAATACGTCTCCAGGGGACGCCCTGGGATGAGGGTGAAGGGTTTTGTAACATCTGCTGCTGATGCCGTGATGCGAGGAGATGGGAGATGGGGATGAACTGTTTCTAGACTCATTCTGGCATCTTCATTCCAGCACCTTGGGATAGAACTTTGCTCGAAGTAGTGGCTAGCTCTGGGATTAATTAAGATAAGGTCACCTGAGAGTAGGGCATGTCTCTGCTAGTGGGACTAGTGTCTATGTAGAAAGGGAATTACGGACACTGACTGATGCATGGAGGTAAAAGGGGAGGTGTCTGGGTACCCAGGAACCCAAAGGTTGCTGGGAAATTCAGAGGCAGGAGGGAGACCTGGAACATAGTGGCCCACAGGGACTGAAGAGCCCCCTATCTTGAGTTCCAATTTAAGGTCCTGAGCCTGAGACAGTACTTCCTAACTCCTCTCTCCACTAGCTGTGGTACTTGGTGACAGTGGTCCAGCCAGGTGAGGTTGTGTGCTGGTGACCTCAGCACCTGGGAAATTGGTGCTGGGCAATCTGATGAGAAGCTGCCTCAAAACAAGGTCAGTATTCTAAACTAATATCACACACACACACACACACACACACCCCTATCCATCCATCATCTATCATCTATCTATAACAATTTTCTAAATATCTACCCTTACACCCACAAACTCTCACCCCTTATCAAAGCAGTCTCTTTTGCAACATAAGGAGGTGATTACAGAGATACCCAACTGTTCAAAATGCGGAGAGTAAGTGATAATTCCAGCTGATACATTTGGAGCTCAAACCCTAAACCTAAGGCTCAGGGAAAAGCTCAGAAGAGTGTGAAAGGCTTGTAAAAGCTGGAGGTCTGTTATACCTGTTGATAGAGAGTGTTCCCTAGACACGACAGGGAAAATGCCTTTCAACCAGACTGAACACAAGACTAGCATAATTATAACAGCATTTGCCGCACAGATGTGAACAGAGGGAATTCCACATGGTCCTTTCCCCATCTGAAGAACTACAGGAGGTTAATGGCTATTGAGAGACAGAGAATCAGTTGCCCAAAGACAAACTCCTATGAAGGTTGTCTAATCCCAAGTGGTCAAGCCTGAATGTATGCACATATGAGCAAAGCTAAATGGACTTAATAAGTTATATACGCAGATGTGTATGTACTTATATTTATGTGATTACTTTTCAGAACTATAGCTTTGAAAAAGCAAGTCTGACTTTAAGAAATGTGTTTTAGCCGGGTGGTAGTGGTGCACTCAGGAGGCAGTGGCAGGCAGATCTCTGTGAGTTTGAGGTCAGCCTGGTCTACAGAGTGAGTGGCAAGACAGGCTCCAAAAGTTAAAGAGGGAAACCCTGCCTCAAAAAAACAAAACAAAGAAAAAGAAGAGGAGGAGGAGGAGGAGGAAGAAGAAATGTAGAAATGTGTCTTAGGTTGAGTTTGGCAGTTTTCATAAGTAGTCTGAGTAAATCTCATGACCCATGAGGCAACAATTGTTTCCCCCAGATTATAGGCAAGAGGCTGGAGAGATGCCTCAGCTGTTAAAAGCTCGGGCTGTTCTTCCACTGGACCCCGATTCAATTCCCAGCACCCACGAGGCAGCTCACAACCATATGTAACTCCATCTCCAGGGAAGCAAATGCCTTCTTCTGGAGCACACGTAATGCACAGACATTCAGGCAAAACACATATACACAAAAGATAAAATAATAAAATGGAAAAATGAAAGAACAAAAGAAAAAATGTAGGCGAGAAAATGGCAAAGAGACTGAGAGGCTCACCAAAGGTCACCATGCTCACCAACAGCTTTACTGACGAACTTACGGCTTTTTCTGAAAGGGTCTGCTAGCAAGGCAGTCCAGGCTGGCTTTGAACTTTCGATGGGCAAGCTCCACTATGCCTGCCTTTAGAACAGATACACGATGGTCCATTGCCAAGCCTGAGTTTTCCTCACCTTAGTTGCTAGGCAGCCATTGTTGAGGTTGGAGACTAGTAAGCATGAGAGGGGCTATCTATGGAAATGACTGGAATAAAGAAAGCCAGGCAATCCGGAAGGAAGAAATGTCCTGGACTCAAGGTCCGGTGCTGCCAAGTGGCCATGTGAAGTGTTCAGTTGGGGGGAGAGTCATGCCAGCTTCAGGACACTTGCCAGACACCATCTAGAGCAGGCCTGCATAAATACACCCGTCTTTCCATACTTCGTCATGAAGTTGCGTTTGGGGACATGCCCAGTGTGCCATGTCACCCGAGTGAGTCAAAGTCCCCTTTCTGTCTCAGGTCCTTCTCTCCGATGACACATGATCTTTCTCCATTTGCTTCCTGTCCTAGGTTCCCTCAAGGGACATCTTTCATCCATAGGGCCTTAGATCGTCTCCCATGGTCATGTCTAGGTTCCCTCAAGGGACACTTTTCATACATAGGGCCTTGGATCGTCTCCCATGGTCAGGTCTAGGTTCCCTCAAGGGACATCTTTCATCCATAGGGCCTTGGATCGTCTCCCATGGTCAGGTCTACTTCCTCATCAGTCCTGACAGCAACCCAGAGGCTACCCCACCAGGGGCCAGCATGGAGAGAAAGCATCCCAGCCTCCCAACCAACCTTGGCCTGAAACATGGAGAGGGCTACAATGATGAGCACTTAGCTCCCAGTCCCGCCCAGCTCTCACAGAGTGAAGAGGCTGGGGTCAAGGTGACTGGGCATCATATGAGCAAGGGGACATCATTACAGGTAAAACATGTCCTAGGGCAGCGCAGGGTACAGGCTTGTCTGGGTCTCTCTCCTATGCTCGTCAGGAGTAGCCCTGACCCAGGAGCTAGGTGACTTTTCCCCTAGTCCTGGGTTCCCAGTGAAGACAGGCTCAGTCCCGGGGTACAGCGGGGTGAGGTGGAGTTTTCTCTGTGAGGAATTTGACCAGGATTGCAGTACCCCTCGATCTCACCCTCCCAAGAGTGCACCATGGATGCTATGAGGCCAGGAGTGTGCAGACTGAGGTGTTCCAGAGATGGCTGCACAGGGAGCCCTGAAGCCGGTGAGGACACACAGCTGGTTATACCCTCGGCCTGAAATCGCCAGGCGTCTATCCAGTGTGTAAGGCAGGCCTCATGTAGGGATGTCCCTAACTATAGAAAACTCGGGGGAGGACAAGGACACCCTCGCCTGGCAGAATCTGGAAGCAGGACCACAGAGGCCAAGGCCAGAGCTCTGGCCAGGCCCGCCATTGCTCCACCAAGAGGGACATAAAGGATCGGCTGAGATTGAACAAATGTTCAGCCTACCTGAAAGAAAGCGGGGAGTGGATTCTGAGCCCTGGAAGGCACTCCACCTGTAAAACCCACCGAGAGCTCAAAGAGAAGCCAGTCTGGGCAACCAGGGGCACCGGCGCCCTCAGTGTTCAAGGTTCCTTTCATCCAGTGACAGGGACAGAGGATGACGACGGATTCTTCAAGCCTTGACCCAGCCACCAACCCCGATCCCATGTCCCTAGGAGCCACATACCTAGAAGCCACCCTGCATGCCAGCTCAACTGCAGCACAGCCCAAGTGAGTGGCCAGGGCACCTGCGGGACCCACATGCCCAGAGCCCCCTGGCTGTGCCTCCTTCAACCGCAGCAGCTGTAGCCGCCTTCTCCTCGGCTGCTCAGGCAGAGTTGTCAGCGGAAAGGAAACTGTCCTGGGTTATGTTGGAGGGAGGAGACCTGTTCTTGGCTCCCGCCCCCTCTTCCTCCACCTCCACAGAGGTGGGAGACTAGGCAAAGGGGTGGGGGAGGGGCATGGACGGGGGAGGGGAGTGGGAAGGAAAGATGCCCGGGAGGAGCAGGTAGGGACTAGTGAGAGATGAGGGGGTTGGAGAGAGGAGCAAAAACCAGTTGCTCTTGCCTCCTGCCCCACCATGGGGTCTTCTCCACTTCAGGCCCCTTTTGTGGGCAGTGTGGGTCCTTTCCCTTCACTATATGCTGATCCTTAGTTCCTGGGGTTTAGGGAGCCTGAGATCAGGGCCAGACTCTCATCCCTTTGGAGGATGGGTGTCCTCCCTGGCTGCAGTGAGAGTGAACTAGACCTTCTCCTACCTTGTCTGGCATGTGTAACCTAGAGTCCCCCTAGCTATGGCTTAGTCCTTTACTTTTGGGGAGCAAGAGCCCAGCCGTCCCTATCTGCTCTGCCTGATGGGTCAGAGGAGGCCTGGAAAGGCTACAGTGAACCTCACCTAGTACCGCAAGAGGATGCTTCTCTACCTGGCCATATCCTCAGACTCAGAAAACCATTGGTCCTGGTCTGGCCTTCTCTCATGGTTTTACTTTGCTTCAAGACACTAGGCCCTCCTGCCCGGGTCACTGTCTTCTCTGCTTCCACAGTGGTCCTAGCTTTGATGGTCCTGCTGCCCCTGTCTTCCTCTTTGCCTGACAGACCCCAACACCAAGCTTGGGTGGTCACAGTTTTTGGTCTTTCCCAGTCAACCTTCTTCTCAGTCCCTAGGTGGTGAGGGCCGCCCCTGTTCTGTTCCTGTCTTCCTGGGGAGGGGCATGGTAGGCAGACCTGTGTGCATAGCCCCAGGCTGGTTGGTCATTTGTAGAAATCTCTGATTACTTAACAGTTCTGCTCCTAAGTGTAAATGAGAAATAAATAGGAAAAACTGCTGATATTAGCATTGAGATGTGTGGGTCTCACAACCCTAAAATAACCAGCACGGCTGGAAACCATCTGGCAACCACCCTAGTTCAGAGGCAGCCGCTTAGCGGGGAAGGAAACGCTGCTTTGTACAATGCAGAGATGGAAAAAGAGTGTGAGGCACAGACTGGCCGCCCCCAGTCTCAGTATGGGGCTTGTGGGCAGAAGCGAGGGAGATCCCCTCCCCAAGCCTGGCTGTTACAGAGCCTCCCAACACTCTTGTGGTTCCCAGGCATGCTCAGGCTAGCAAGTCCCCAACCAGGCTGGGCGATCAGGAAATGGCTATAGGCCTTGAACGGCTTCTGGGCAGATCCCATGTAGCTTGTTCTGATGTTCTGTCTAGATTCTTCCTGGACTCTTGAGACTTTGTAGAACAGCCCATGAAGACTGGAGAGGAGCTGGAGTCTGAACAGCAAGCTGTCATCCCATCCCCGGGAGTATAAGCAACATCCCAGGCCAGCAAGTAGTGGGACATGTCCTCATGGAGAGGGGAGGAACCCCTGCCCCCCATCTCTCTCCCTCCTCTTCTGCTGAACTTTCTTCCTTCCCTTTATCCTAGGCCTATTTCTCCCTTCTTTCCTTTCTCCTCCCTAGCAGTGGAGTGAGGAACAAGGCTGGCCTGGGGTAGCCCTACCTGGTTTCTCTGTGCCAATAGTCACTGCAACCCCCTTGATGAAGAATGTTTTCCTGAGAGGTCTGGGGTGTGAGCCTGTGGGTCCCAGGGCCTGCAAGGGAGCAGACAGTAGGAGGGAAAGGGCCGTACTGGGTATGGACCAGCAGGGTCCTAGGACCAGACCTAGAGATGGGTCACTGGGTCACACCCCAACTCACACTGCTTATCAGATCGTCCCCCACAAAATTCACAATCCCCAGCGTGCATATTGTTCTCCCAGACCCACAATCCAAAATACACATGCTGTCCCCAAGCACACGTATTCTGTAAAGTACATCCCGTCTCCCAATTCTCATGTGCTCTCCAGATGACACATATAATCTCTAAGACGAATGCCACCTTTCAATATTCCCAATCCCAAACGCACACACTGTGTTCCATGACACGGAGTCCCTAACACAATAATGTCCTGTAATACACACCCATCCTAATACTCATGCTATTTTTTATTTTGAGACAGCGTTTCTCTGTGTAGCCCTTGTGAGGCCTGTAGACCAGGCTGGCCTCGAACTCACAGAGACCCGCCTTCCTCTGTCTCCTGAGTGCTGGGGTTAGGGTGTGAGCCACCACCACCCAGCTCATGCTATTTTTCAATACATATAAAATCCCTGACACATTCTCTTCCCTAGTAAAGCAATAACCAGCATAATGCTATCTCTTAATAGACATGCAATCTCCAACCACACGATACAACCCACAGAGTCTCAAACACACACACTACCTCCCAATACACAATCCTCGAGATTCACTTTGTCCTCTGATATGTGTGCTAGCTTCTGATAGTGGGACGTGCAATGTCCCAATATACACTTCATTTCCAGCACACATACTACCTCCCAATACACACACAATGCCCAACACACATGCTATCCCACTGTGCTGGCTATCTGCTCAGTGTGGTACAGCAGGTGCCTGCTGCTTTGGGTTTCTATAGGGCATCATTCCCTCCAGTTCCAGGGCAGCTCTCCAGTCCCTTTGAGTACTGAACCAGGGTTGGTAGTATGGATGCTTCCAACCGAGGCAAGTGTAGGAAGATCCCAGTTGCTGGGGATCATGGGCAGAACTCCTAGGGACATTCTTGTGAGGATGTGGGTCTGGCCACCAGTTATCATTTCCTGAGTGCGATCATTGGATGTGAAGTTGCCATGGTGGCATGAACTGGAGAGCCTGCATCCACATCTGTTTCTTCCTGGAGTGACTGAGAAAATGCTCAGTAAGAAAGGCTGGTCTCAGTGGTCAACAGCAGAGCTTCCCCGTGCCAAGTCCTCAGAAGTCACCCCGCCTTGGGGGGTGGGGGGCTCCCCTCCTTCTGGATAGGGCAGAGAAGCATGAGTTTCCAGGGTGCTGACCTCAAGATTATGACACAAAGGCGGGCGGCACTGGTGGAAAGTTAGGGAGAGGGAATCCCCGCACTCTGGAGGTAATGGGAAGTTTCCATCTAGATGGGGACAGGGACCGAAAGTTCAGAAAACAGAAGGATCATTTTGAAACAACTGTAAGGGAAACAGGAGGTAGAGGTGCGGGCCAGAATCCAGACCCAGAACCCACTGTGGTCCACAGTGAGGTCTCATAGGGGCTCAGGGCTCAGCGACCCAGGTGACAGGGTGATTCAAAGTTACTTCTGAGGTTGGAACAGGAAATGGTTAATAGTGTTTGCAAATAAAAACTCTCTGTTCTGCCCTGTTTTGAAACATTTCCCAGAAGCTAAAGGAAGAGCCGCTAATTTATCTGCCCAATTTAAGACACACACACACACACACACACCACTTCACACTTAATCATGTACTTGTTCCTTAAAACATGTGATTTCCAGCTCTACTCCTCTGAACTTTGTAGAGTGTAGTTAGTGGTTTAAATGTGCGTCTGCATTTAAATTCATTGTGTGCATTTCTGTGTGTTTGTTGCCTATGTGCCTGCATGTGTATGCACGTGTATGCAGTATGCGTGTGCTCCTGGTATGTCTGTACTCTGTGTGGAATGCCTTCCAGTCTAGTCTCACTGGCACCGAGGGTTTCACCTGGGCCCTTGCTGATGATGCAGATGGCTGCGGTATAGCCTCACGAAAGCCCTGAAGCCAGGCGCACAGTGCCCTCTGGGAAACCTTGGAAAGCCAATCGCCTCTGAGCTGCAGAGGACTGGAGAGACAGCTCACCTGCCTGGGTGGTTGTGCCGGCTAGTCTTATGTCAACTTGACACAAGCCAGAGTCATCGGAAAGGAGGGAGCCTCGATTGAGAAAATGCTTCCAGAAGATCTGGCATTTTCTTAATTAGTGATTGATGGGGGAGGGCCCAGTCTATGGTGGGTGGTGCCAACTTTGGGCTGCTGGTCCTGGATTCTATAGGAAAGCAGGCTGAGCTTGGGGAGCAAGCCAGTAAGCAGCATCCTCCATGGCCTCTGCATCAGCTCATGCCTCCAGGTTCCTGCCCCATTTGAGGTCCTGTCCTGACTTCCTTCTGTGATGAACAGTGATGTGGAAGTGTAAGTCAAATAAATCTTTTCCTCCCCAGCTTGCTTTTTCGTCATGGTGCCTCATCATGGCAATAGAAACCCTGACTACGACACTGGTCACTTCTTCCATGTTGTGGAGCTTGTAGCCAGGCTGCCATGCTGTCAGCTGTCCTAGCCCTTGTCAGAGCTGGGCTTAGAAGCTGAGCCATGGGATGAGGGAGAGCAGGGCCATGGACAAGGGGAGGGGAAGGACCTGGACATTTTGCTAGGTGGCAGATGGTGCTGAAGTTGACCTGGCTTTCCCAGCGCTTTCTTCTTTCCTGTCCTTCTTCCAGCCCTTTGAGAGCTGTTTCAGGGGAGACTTCTTGGGTCTTAGGACAGGGTTCTCATCTGCATCCTGCTCCTAAAGCTTGTCCTCAGAGGCCAGCATCCCTGCAGTCCACTGAGGATGGTTCCCACTCCGCCTTGATGGTTCAGTTCAGCTGGATCCGGGCCTGAGCTTTGCATCATAGTGGGCACAGTTTTTACCCACTGGCTTTTTTTTTTTTTCTGGTATAAATGAAGAGAATGCATAGAGTTGATTGACCTGCCAGTGAAATGATACGAGTGAAAAGTACATCACACTTCTTAAGCCAATTAAGAGCACAAGGAGTCGTCCTTTATATTGGCTGGTGACCAAGAGTGGGGTAGCACCTCAGAAATACTCTCACACTGAAGCTCAGGGGGCGAGGTGTTTTTAAAGGTAAAAAAACCACAATGACATCAATGCTGGATGAGGGTCAGAA